CCAACTGGGAATCACACTTTATACTTAGATGACTTTTGTTTTCCCAAAATAGCATCTATATTCAATAATGGTTGAATACCTTCTATATTCAATTCAGGTACTGTTTTGAGCACTTACTCACAATATTGCATCTGAATAGAACTATTTAATGTTGAGATCTGATGAAATACAGATCTAAGCCTGTGTTTTATTATATCTTGGCCTTCTCCCAAATAAAGGAGACAGACTAAAGACAGACTAATCCCTGATGTCTGATAGTATCTCTAGTCTATTATGAAACTACTTTACAGAGATCCTCCTCAGCCTGAGAGATTTTCAACTCCAATATATTTTTTTTAAGTTAACAGGAGCCACGCGTACGTTTATAAAAGACTTTAATCCTGGAAAGCCGTCACTTCTGGAGTACAATTAGGTGGCTTCCAGTTTCTTAATGTGGTCATGCCAAAAGAGTGACTTTGGGATGATGTTTATACCTGTTATAAAAACTCCTTGAAGATGGCCTGAATTTACCAAAAGCATAATTTTAATTGGTTATCTTTACTTAGAAAATGTTGTTTAATATTTTGTCCTTGAAGTCTTCAGTTTGAAAATTCTCAAACCAGATTTTTTTCTAGTCTATTATAATCCCCTAGTGTGCTCCTCCATAATCTAGGTCACAGATAATTAAATTTCATGATCTCAGCTTCTAGTTTTCTGTTTGCAGATGTTCAATTCTTTCTTAGTAGATGTAACTGTGATATGATAGCACCAGTTTTTAGGCTCATTTAAGAAAACATCACATTCTATAGAATTAGTGCATATATTAGTGATTGAGGTCATATCATTGCTTAAATTATATAATCATTTATCTACCCCCAAAAATCTACTGTATCATTGGACAAGGCAATGAATGAAATATATATCAATGAATAAGATCAAGTCTCTGCTCATCTATGAAGTACATGAATTGGTTGTTTAAAGAATGTACAGAGTCAAAAATCTCTCTGACACCCTCAGCCAACTCTGTTTCTCCACAGTGGGTTAAAAAGTTTAAACAATATGTATGTGAGTACTGATTTATATTTGAAATAAAAACCTTATATAAAAGAAAATTATAGCAGAAATTAAATATTATGTATAAATATGCATATGAACTATGTACTATAAAGATTAAAATTAGTTTTTGTTTGATGTTAAACTATGTAAGATATGCTACCTAAATGGCAGATCAAAATTGTTTCCCTAACTTTCAAACATTGCCAAATTATAAGCTCAATTTGCTGGCAATAAAGAATAAAATCAAGTTCACAGACTGTTTATCTTCCTCCTATTTAAAACAGATATATTTTTGAACACAAAGGTTGTGAAAGAATCATGTTTATCAATAACTGCATGCTGACAGATGATTCGGAGTATTATGTGACAGCTGGAGATGAGAAATGTTCCACCGAGCTCTTTGTCAGAGGTAAAATGAAGTCTCTTACTGCAGTCACCAGGAGCCCTCGGCTCCTTCTCCCAGGGGTAATGATCACAATGAAAGTACCGAGGTGAGCTCTTCAGCTCCAGAGCAGAGGTAATAGTACCTCCAGCAATGGTCTGGCTTGGGTGTTAGGTGGGCTCAGGGTTGAGGCTCCTCTACATTGGCAGGTATCATGTGTCCTATCGAGTTTTCAGGCTTGTTGAAGACTAGAAAAGCCAAGGGGAGAAAAAACTGCTGAATAAAAATGTTTCGTGGTTTTGACTCCAGCTAAGTACTATTCTGCAAAATAATTATTCTAGTTATAGCTTCTGAAACCCAACAGATTTCATTGGATAATCCTCGTTTCGCACACTCACTGATCACAAATAGATTTCTATTGAAACTAGCTTCATTAGTAAGTGGTTGGCACCGAGCACATTAAAGACCATCATTTACTAAGACATTGTGAAAAGAGCTGGAGGCTGTGAAGGAAGCCACATCTCACTTATTTTCTGTATGAGAAATCTGAACTCTGAAATCTCTATCATCCATCTAGAATCAGAATTAAAAAATTTGAGTGTTACCCGTTCTCCCTCATCAGAAATGTCTACCACCTAGTATCTTATTTGCTAAAAGAAGGATATTTGGTACATGTTTTGTCTACTCTCCAGAACAGTAATTTATGTGATTTGGGGAGTTCTCAGAAAAATTGGGAGAATTTACCCAGGGTTGTCAGCTATTTACTTTGCCAGAAACAGACATTTAAAAAAAAAACAAAAAACAAAAAACTCACCTACTGTCTACTACATGTGAACCACAGATGATACTTTCTGAATGTTGGTTTTTTCATCTGTGAATAAATCAGGGCTCATCGGGTAGGCTTTGGATATCTAATGACCCTTATTTCTTCTTTTTTCATACTAGAGCCTCCAATTATGGTGACCAAACAGCTGGAAGATACAAATGCTTACTGTGGGGAGAGAGTGGAATTAGAATGTGAGGTGTCTGAAGATGATGCCAATGTAAAATGGTAAATAGCCTTCCTGAGGTCTGTCTGTTTTTTAGCAGACAAAAAATGTACCTTTATAGTTGATAAAACAGGAAATACAAATGACTTTTAAGCATATGAAAAGAATCTCAATCTCATTTGTGTTAGTAGAGATGATAACAAAAAGTATACTAAGATACTGGGTGTTTTCCACTTATGAGACTAAAAAAAAAGATCCAGAAATCCATATGGGCAAGCATGTAGGGAAGTGGACACTTACTAATAAATGGATGACTCAGGTTTCCCCAGGTCTGCTTGACTCCAGAGCCTCTAGCAGGGTTTGTCTCATTATGCCATA